GCTTGTATGTGTAAAACAGAACTAAGAAATCTTCAGAGTCTGTTTGGATTAAGAGAACCAGCCGTTTGCCTAGTACACTCTTATTTGTCACTACATAACACACTAAATAATATTGCAAGTTTTATTAAGGATTATTTTAAGCGTGGTTTCAATAGAGTGTCGTAAAACCAAAGCCAAAACAATCAGTCTGACCAATCACACAGGACACAGACAATCCAGTGAACCAATCAAAGGTTGAAGCAAATACCTGTAGCTGACGCGAAGCGCGGGAAAACGTGTGTGAGCAAATCACAATTGGTTTTGGTTTTACTTCTGATTAGTTGAGAAAGTGACGCGAGTTTTATAAGCCAATCGCTTAACGTAGTAACGTAGTTATAAAAATCCAAAGCAGGTATCGACACTTAAGTGAAACTTGCTCTTCGTTGTGCTTTGTAGTATCACCTAAATGTCAAACCTTATTAACTGACCTTGTTTGAGACACTGTTTGGAAGAGGATGGTTTGTAACCTCAATACCGTAAGATGAATCGCCCATTTGATCTGTCAGCAGAATGTTAGACATTGCACTCAGGGCCTCTGCTATAGTGTGAAACGCCTGTGAAGACAATGAATATAAACCATTATAACTGAAAGGCGTACTTCCTGGAAATATCACACTTTTAGTACGTTACGTAGGGACAATGGAGTGCTAATGTCTATAACACAATGAATGTACATCATGATTCTGGCAATTAATGATTGAAGTCTTCCTGAGGCACACCTCTTTTAAAGAGCATCTAATCTGATAAATAAACTAATACATACATACTTTATTTATTCTAGAAGCATACTAGATTTACAATAAAAAACTAAAAACAAGGGAAAAAGAAAGATGCCCCTAGAAAAGGAAGTTAAGAGGTTATCCCTTTGTGAGAACTCCCTCTAAAAAAGTGCAGCTAATAGTAGTAGACTCCGTTTTTATCAATAAGCTTGAAAGCAAATGAACTTGAAGGTTTTCGAGTCAGCCTTCACCTTTGCCATGTCTATTTGCAAAACAGGAGGAAGATCTAAAGGAAGAATTTACAGATTAACTTCTGTCCAATTCAAGCTTGTCTTATATAGCATCTCTGCTTGTTATTTTTACAGTCATATTTACCTCGTTACTGTACCAAACTGTGTTCTCTGTGGTCTCCTGGGTCTTGTTAGCTAGTCCAGTGTTGTTCGACATGTTTGAGGGTTTAGCCATTGGCATGGAGGTCGTGGGAGCAAGCGAGAAACCAGCAACGTACACATTGAAGTAATTGGAGGCATTACTCTTTTCCAACACGTACTGAGAGAAGTAAGTATTGAGGTCTGTCAGATCTGTGCCCGGACAACCCACTGCTGAACATTTCTCATCGTCGATTTTTTCATCAGGACTAAAAGAAAAATCAACGAAAATGAAAATCTGTTCCGAGGCTCTGTCCATGTAGTAAGCTGAAAGAATGTCATGTTAGTCTGTGAAATATTCCTCGAAAGTTCTAAGGTATAGCTAGCTCCAGTAAAAATGGTCGACCAACATTAGAAGAACGGCAAACCAGGCTACATGTAAGATCTACTGCGCCATGCATCAAAGTATTGGATGAGTGAAAGCGGCGTGGTCAAGTGGTTTAGGTCGCTGGATTTGAAATCTGGAGGTCCGTGGTAGAAATCCTCTACCTTGTCGCTATCTGGATTTGTTCTCGGTAGTCCCGAGTTCAACTTCTCCACCGCGTTGTGTAAATAGCCAACTGGTTAGCTCCCACCAGTTAGGAATCGTAATAGTTTATGTTCTATTTGCAATATTTCTTCAAATACTTACAGCGTCCCCAGTTAGCACAACAGTATTAGATACACTTGACACTAACTAAAGTTTTTGTTGTTGTTGTTATTAATTGGTGAAGTGTTATCCCAGCCTGCACTGAGAGCTAAACTGCTACCAAAAACGANTCTCATCGTCGATTTTTTCATCAGGACTAAAAGAAAAATCAACGAAAATGAAAATCTGTTCCGAGGCTCTGTCCATGTAGTAAGCTGAAAGAATGTCATGTTAGTCTGTGAAATATTCCTGGAAAGTTTCAAGGTATAGCTAGCTCCAGTAAAAATGGTCGACCAACATTAGCAGAACGGCTAACCAGGCTACATGTAAGATCTACTGCGCCATGCATAAAAGTATTGGATGAGTAAAGGCGGCGTGGCCAAGTGCTTTAGGGCGCTGGATTTGAAATCTGGAGGTCCGTGGTAGAAATCCTCTACCTTGCCGCTATCTGGATTTGTTCTCGTTAGTCCCGAGTTCAACTTCTCCACCGCGTCGTGTAAATAGCCAACTAGTCAGCCCTCCTCCAGTTGGGATTCTTAAAAGTTTATGTTCTATTTGCAATATTTGTTTAAATACTTACAGCGTCCCCAGTTAGCACAACAGTATTAGATACACTTGACACTAAAGTTTTTTTTGTTGTTGTTATTAATTGGTGAAGTGTTATCCCAGCCTGCACTGAGAGCTAAACTGCTACCAAAAACGAATTGCTAAGCTCGTCGATATTTACTTAATTAAATATTCATTTAACTTCATTAGGTACATGCACTTTACATTAAGTACGTACACTTTACATTAGGTACACACACTTTACTTAGGTACATACAGTCTAGCTTGGATGCATTTGGGACAGTCATTGTAACCAAAGTTGTAATCTGTACAGTTGTCCGGTGACAGATCCTCGCTGATAAACTGAGAGATGAAAATTTTAAACGTCTAATGTGATCAGTATGTCTACCATTTTGAACCAGAATATGACAAAAGTAACCAATTCAACTAATGGTGATTTTCCACATTTGTTCCAAAATAGATTCATAATTACTGCAATACCTGCACCTATCAAACATTACAAAAACCAATTCTCCAGCACTGAAATCATGGTAGTAAGAGTTGTTTTTGTCGTTGTTGCCTCAGACATGCTCAGGTACAGTCTAGCAAAATACTGGTCAAAGTACTCGGTTGGAACTGGTTTTTACAACAACTAAAACGATCAACATTATTTTTCTAACATTTTTCAAACAAACACTATTGCACTTTCAAATTTTCGTGTTGTAAATGTCGATCCTTAGTTTTGTATAATCTAGACTATATGCGGCTTATCTGTCGTTCTTAGGGACAAATATTGCAAGTTTTTGTTGACTTTATTGGCTTTCTGCTTAAACAAATGACTCACCATTTGCCTGCACTTGGCATTGAGCACAAAATACTCATAATTACAGCAGGATACGCTACTGTCATCAACCGTGGTGTAATTTTTGTTTCTAACAAAAATTCCATTGTTCCTGTTGTAATCTCGGATTTTGTAAACATTAGATGTGATGTCATCCACATTAACTTTCACGCCCTCAAGATACGTGTTGGCTTTCTGAAAAAAAGAAAGAAATACAGGGTTTCTGAGTTTGCCTAATTTCTCCTGTCAAAACAAGTGTGTGTATCAGAACGCATACTGTTTGGTGCAGTTTTGTCTACTACCCAGTCACTAACAGTCAAAAAAGTTCATCGTTTTCATCGAAAACGCATACATTTGAAAACGGCACTTTCTCGTAGAGTATCGGCATTTGAGAGCATTTTAGTGTGGACAAAGAAAACGCTGCGATAACGGTAGTTTAGTAATGTCCTCTAGGCACAAAAACACATGCATCATCGAAAACAATTTCGAAAACACACTAGAGTGGATGATGCATTAACTGGTTGCTAATACAGCCCTAAAAAAGGTGATGTTGTGCTGAATTAAAAAGGTAGAAATAACTCATCTGTATTCCAATTCGTGATTTTGATTAATTCTCACTTGAAGCATACCTTAATCGGAACGTAACATTGAAATTCAGTGTGATTTTGTTTTCCCAAACTACATGTACATGCCGTGAACACGTTCATTCGGGCACTTGCTTTCCTGTGACTAAGGCTATATGCTTTAGCATGTATCGTAATACCAAATTATGATATTTGTTGGTTCAACCAGTAAAATGGATGGGTCGTTACCTTGAAGGTTGCTGACTTTTCAGCAGAACTCAAGTTTCTGTAATCTGCAAAGAATGCTTTAGTGTAGATGTCATCCACGCTCAAGTTGGACAGCTTCAGGACACGTGGGGGGTCATTGTCTCTGGTGGGAATGGATGTTATCAGCAACAAACCAAAGAGAACCATTACAAGAGGAAGAACAAGCTGTGTGACGATTGCTTTCTTGTCGCGTTTGGAGTTCAAAAACCTCTTTATGAACATTGCTTTGTATTGGTGCCACTTCAGTTTCATGCCTGTTTCCAGTCCTAACGACGAAAACATTCAAATTACTCAGAATATTATTCTATTATCCTACTGTCTGTCCATCCATCTGTCTGCCTGTCTGTCCATCCGTCTGTCTGTCGTTCTGTCTGCACATCCGTCTGTCTCTCTGGCCATCTGTCTACAGCTGCCTATCTGTCCATCCGTTTGTCTGTCTGTCTGTCTGTCTGTCTGTTTGTCTGTCTGTCAGTCTGTCTGTCCATCCATTGGTCTGTCCATCCATTGGTCTGTCCAGCCATCTGTCTCTCTATCTGTCGGTCTGCTTGTCTGTCTATCTGTCTGTCGGTCTGTTTATCTGTCGGTCTTTCCATCCATCTGTCCATCTGTCTGTCTGTTGCCTGCCTGTCTGTCTGTCTGTCCATCCGTCTGTCTGTCTGCCTGTCTGTCCACCCGTCTGTTTGTCTGCCCGTCTCTCTGTCTGCCTATCTGTCCATCCGTCTGTCTGTCTGTCAATCCGTCTGTCTGTCTGCCGGTCTGTCTGCCTGCCTGTCTGTCTGCCTGCCTGCCCTCCTGCCTGTCTGTCTACCTGACTCTCTGTCTAGCTAACTGTATGTTCCAGTTGTGTATTCCTATATCAATCATTTCGTTGCTTTGTCCATCTCTCCCTTCGCTAATCTGTTAATTCAGTTTCTAGTATGTGCATGACAACTAGCATACTGCTTACCTCCACTCTGCATGTCTTCAGCCCCAGGTACATCAACAATCTGCTCAGTCTCATAACTAGCAACTTCATGATCCTTGGCTCTGAAAAATCAAAAACTTGAGTTACATTCACAATCCAGATGGTGCTTCTTCACAGATTATAGCTCCTGCACATGGACATAGGTTGAAATCAGGCTAGGCCATTATTTTTAGGTTTCCATTGATGAAAATGTGTCATATATATGGGTTTTGACATTTCGAAGTAATACTCATAATAGTATCTCTTTTATAGATCCAATTAGCTCAAAGGGAAACATAAAGTTGATTTGCCACGTTCATTGAATTGTGGCACAATACGTTACTAGTGCTGGCAAAAAAAAGCAAATATAGACCAGGCACAAAATTGAAAGAGTGTAAGTGTGTTAAGTGGGTAATGCTGTGTTAAACGTACAAGTCATCCACAGTTTTCTCGGCTCCTTCTCCAACCTTCATGAACACTTCCTCTAGAGTTGTGACAGATACTCCAAAACTAGTGATACCATATTCATCCATCTTATCTACAGTTTGAATAAAGAAAAAACAAATCAAAATTGTATTAATCAATCAATTAACAAACTAATGACATTACTTGCTTACTCACTTTAGTGACAATTTTCATTACAGCAAAAACCTATTATACAATACGACAGCCGTTTGCAGGTGCCTAGGAAGTTTTTTCTCATAGCTTCAGTCTGGCTAACACCTTCCCAGACCTTCTAAGTTAAGTTACATGCTGCTGACTATTCACTGAAGAAAAACTAGTGTTTGTTTTGGTTTTGTAGAGAATTCTACAAGGATTCGACAAGTTTACATCTTCTACAACTATAACTGAAGTCTTTCTAATCCTCANGCAGGACTTATCCTAACCAACTACGTGTATGTAGAACATAGTCTGGGCGTGCTTCAACTTGAGACAAACTCCGGTGAATGAAATAACAATAATAGTAATAGTAATAAAAATAGTAATAATAATAATATTAATAATAATAATAATAATAATAGATATTTATATAGCGCCTATCCAGATCTGTTCTAAGCGCTTTACAAAAGTAAAAGAGCTAAAAAGAAAGTTCTACGAGATAAAAGATACAACTGCAATCTTCAAGATTAACTCTGTCTTATTGCAAGTTTCCAGAACAGTGAGTGCTGTTAAATGCAACGTTTCTTCTTTATGTTGCCTTAAAATGTGCCTCATATACACTATACCAGGCATTTCAGGACCTAAATCAAATACAGTAGCATTACTATGAAATGCTCCCTTTTCAAAATGGGTTGAGATATCATTAATTTTTCATCAGCTGAGAAAAATTAAAGCTTGAATGATTGCCTGCCTACTGTAAATGTCGATTATTTTGAACTATTAATTTATCCTGCGCATAGAAGAAGAACTGGCTTGCAAGTTTAATCTTGGTACCCAGCATGAATGCACTGATTTACATGTAGCTTACATAAAGTGGGTTGTCAGGATAATGGTCTTTCCTGCTTTGTGCTTCAGAAGTAGGTCCCATGTCCCTCGTCTTGCATATGGATCCATTCCAGAGGTAGGCTCATCCAAGAACACTGTTTGTGATCCTCCAATGAGAGCTATAGCACAACTGCAAGAGAAATTGTTTGATAATATTTACGCAGTGGAATGGTATTAGAATGAAAACATCCACGCATAATTGGGAGTATTCCAGAGGTTGTTTCAAACCCATGCTGCGGGCTATTTTTCACACAAGCATGTTTGAGTTGCTCCAAAACTGGCCTAATTGAATGTTGCCATTATGATCACGAAAGTAGTCTCTTGGTATTTGTTTACAAAGTTAAGGTGAGAAAAGTAAAGCAACAAATACGTATGACCTTACAAATTAATTTACTTTTGCAGCCATTAAATCAGACTGTATGCAATGTGCATGATGAATTACAACATAACAATGAGCTGTATAGGAAATATACTATCATGGGTAGCACTCCAATTAATACGTTAAGTTCCCTTTTCAGATATAATGTAATATGCAGGACAAAGGCCGCAGACAGTTTTCACAAGAAAAGAGCCATCAACTGCGACAATGATGTATCATCAATCCTCACCTCAGCTTTCGTTTCATTCCACCTGAGAGCGTAGATGAAGCCCAGTGCATCTTATCACTAAGCTGAATGTCATTAATCATCTGAAGTACTTCCGTTTCAGCTTGTTGGCCAAACGTTCCCTAACAATGAATGTAAAAATATTAATTTTATAAAATCAATATACCATAAGCTTCATTCGTCTGGCTATGAGAAGTGCTACTGAAAAACCAAAAAAACTACAACTGGCAGTGTTTTAGAGCAAATGTCACCAAAAATCGAGCAAAATTTAAATTTGCGGCAGAAGCCGAAAAATCGATTTTTCTCTCTTTTCGTGCATAAATAGCCCTTAGGTAGATAACAAACGTGATACAGTTTTCTTGAGCTCGAAGCGCTTTAAATTCGCAAAAATAGAGTAAAACGATTTTCGCCTCAACGGCCGCCAAAACAGGGGAACGTAAAGGCCTAAGAGCTATTTATGGCCGAAAAGAGAGAAATATCAATTTTTCGACTTCTGCCGTCCTATGTTTGTTAATTTGAGAAATTCACTTAAGACTTGGCCAGAACAACCTTTGACCATAATATATAACCTCTCTTATATGTACCTTCAAGTTGATGAAAAATTCCAAATGTTCTTTGACGGTGAGTCTGTCAAAAAGTACATTATGCTGTGGACAGAGCCCCAGGCTCTCACGGATAGCTTCCATATCTGTCAGTATGCTCTTGCCATCAACATGGGCAGAACCAGACGTAGGAGGAAACAGGCCGGTTAAAATGGACATAGTAGTCGTTTTTCCTGCTCCATTGTGGCCAAGCAATGCTGTGATTTGGCCTTTGTACATGTTCAGGGTTAGCCCATCCACAGCAACTTTGGAACCAGTAGAGCCCTGGAGGGAAAATTGTTCAAGGAGCTGTATTACACATGCATGTATGGCTTAAGCTCCATAAGAAGGCAACATGAACCAGGATTGGTTACCAGAGCAGGTAAGATGGAGCTGTATATGATCTTTGGCATATTCACTTGTATTCTTCACTATCTACGGGTATATTACGAACTCACAATGTGATCAGCTCCCAGTTAGCTTGATAGCTCAGTTGGTAGAGCACTGCACTGGTATCGCAGAAGTTATGGGTTTGAATGCCATTTAGTCCTGAATTTTTTTTTTCTCAGGCTTAAATTTCACAACTGCTTAAGCTGTGTGTATAACTGCGATGATCAGTCGTGTCTTTGCGTCTTTCTCCATAGTTCAAAAGTATATGACCTTTCCCATACTCACCAACCAATATTCAGCGATGACGTGACCTCATGCTTGGTCAATAACCACATAATACATAGAAATTATCTGAGAAAATCATAGACGATTAATAAAACTGTGAAAACCCATTTTGGATTGCAGTACCTTGAACACTTTTCTGAGATCTCTAATGCCCACACCAATTGGTAGATCATGAGTTTCCTCCTCAATTGCTACATTCTCAGACATCTTATCCAGTGGATTGAGCTCCTAAGCCACAGAGAAAGTACATGTAATATGCATGAACATGTACAATAAAAACAAATTTGATCGTGACTTTTGTAAACTGCATGTCCAGCAATTATTACATGTATATGATAAAAAGCATGGTAACAAGTTGTCAATGACACAGTCATACATGTAGTTAGTGATAGATGTATCATTTGAACATTCGTTATTATGATGATTAATTGTTACTTGTATATTAAACATTCTGGTGTCCTACAGACAAGGCGGGTGGCTACAACAGAGACAAAAACCCACACTGAAACACGTCTTTAGTTGTCAATTGACCTTTGAGTTGTTTCAGCAAATTTTAGCAAAAAAAAATTTTTTTTGGCTACATTGCAGATCTCCTTAGCAAGTGAGAGTTCTATAACTCCAAGCACATAATTGCTTACTTTACCCATTAGTGTAAATTCATCACTTCATGCATTTCTAAAGAAGGAAAATGTGCTGGTGTACCTGTTCTATCCCAACTTCTATGAAATTATCTGCAGAAGCTCCACACCAGTAGCTCTTAGTGAACGGGAAGTAGAACGGCTTGGGGATTCCATAACTGCCAGGAAATACTGCCTCTACATACCTGAAGATAGAAGCAAAATGAAAGGCATTACTTTCACGTGCATTTGCGTTGTAACAAATTACAAAATGTATCCAGCATCATTCTGCACCCTTACGGAAAGTTTGGGTACCTAAGTTAGTTATGAACGTCCACCATCAGTAGTAAGTAGAAACGTCCATCGTTAGCAGTAAGCTTCTACACAGAGAAGCAGATACATGCAGAGCGAGAGAGAGAGGCAGAGGCAGAGGCAGATACAGTTGTGTAGACAGAAGCAGAACCAAAAGTAGGAGCAGGAGCAGAAGCAGAAGCAGAGGCAGGGGCAGAGGCAGAAGCAGGAATAGAAGCAGGAACAGGAGCAAGAACAAGAGAAGGAGCAGCAGCAGGAGCAGATCTGCAGATGCAGATACAGTTACAGATGCGGAAGCAGAAGCAGAGGCAGAAGCAGATGCAGATGCGGGCAGGAGCGGATGCAGACGCAGATGTAGATGCAGATACATATGCAGAGGAGGAAGCAGACGCAGACACAGATACAGAAGCAGAGACGGAAGCAGGAATAAGAGCAAGAGCAAAAGCAAGGGAAGGAGCAGTAGCAGGAGCAGATCTACAGATGCAAATACAGATACAGATGCAGAAGCACAAGCATGGGCAGGAGCAGGAGCAGGAGCAGATACAGAGGCAGATGCAAATGAAGATGCAAAAGCTGAGGCAGATGCAGATGCAGATGTACAAGCAGAAGCAGAAGCAGAAGCAGAAGCAGAAGCAGAAGCAGAAGTAGAAGTAGATGCAGGACAGGAGCAGATACACATGAAGGGGCAGAAGCAGGAGCAAGAGGAGACAAGGAAGCAGATGTAGATGCCAAAGCAGAAGCAGGAACCATGCAGAAGCAGATGCAGATGTAGAGGCAGTGGCAGAAGAAGATGCAGATGCAGATACAGATGCAAAGGCAAAAGCAGAAGCAGATTAACAGTTGCAGACGAAGATGAAGATGTATAAACAGAGGCAGAGGTAGATGTAAATGTAGACACAGATACAAATACAGTAAGCTTCTATTGTAAGGAAAGAAGGAACTTTTAACTAGACATCTCCACTGTAACTGTAAGTACCGTCACAAGTAAGAATAAACACGCATAACACTTACAACAGACTGGAGAGACAAAAGAATGCTAAATCCAAAACACACGCAAAATCTCAAATAAAGCAGTGACAAAACAATATCACATCTAACACAATGAACTTTAAAGGCACATAGAGTAACAACACAAGCATGTGAACCAAATACTGCTGGCAAGCTTTCTGTACACAGACTGTGTAAAACCCTGCTAATAATTTACATTGTTACCAGACAAATCAGTAACATACCAGGTGATGATGCCGTATATAATGCTCTGTACAATAAACATTCCAAGAACGTAGGCAAAGCTGAAGTCATCATCAGGAGCAGGGGATCTGCCAACTCGGCTCCAGGTCAATCCAACCTCTAGGCTCTCAAATTTAGCAATGATACGAGTGGCAATTCCAAGGCAAGTATTTGGTAAAAGACAGGAAGCAGCTTTCTCACCCCTGTAGCAATTAGTAAAGACTCTGTAAATATTGATATGTAAATCAAGGCAACCCATAAAGAAAAGTTAGAACTTGCAAAACTGTCGGAGACAACAGGACAAACATCTTATCATTTGCTTTCACCTTTTAGTTTAGTTGACTTAATTTCCACTTGTCCTCTTTTGTACACATAAATGCCTGAAATGCATTGTTTAAGCCTGTGTTGTAGCAAAATTACCCTCTTAATAAACACTGCAATTGGAAAAGCTTTCAGCAATTTTCTCAGTCCCAAGTACATATATATAAAAGATTATTTCTACATCTCACTACATGGGAAGCTAGTCCTTCACATGGTTATCCCAGCAGTTAATTCACAGTTTCTGGATTTGGCTTCTTTTTAAAACATCTCTAAGCACTGTTACAATGTAACAGAAGTGGTTTATTGGTTGTGCTCTTAAAGGTCAGGCTTGCACATGTTTGGCTTGGCATGACACCCAGTTGTGAGTGGGAAGTAGTCCACACACCTTGACAAAGCCTCATAGGCCTCCTGTTGGGCAAAGGTCTGGTAAGGAACCAAAGAACAGTACCAAGCCACTGCACCAAACAGCATACCCACAACTGGTCTTGAGAAGAAAACACTGCAAATAACAATTAGAGGGCGAGTTAACCACCAGCAACTTGAAAAGCATTCAATGAGCTGTCAAGAAAATGCACTCTATGTGGAGCCTGGCTGGCTTGCCACAATGGAAGACTTAAGAGGCTGTCCGTGTAAGAACCGACCACTCGATTTTCGGCCGAAAACAGAATTT